CAGGTGCTCTACCTGATCTGCAATGCAACAAATAATATCTTCTCAAGGGGGCAAAACATATTTTGTTCAATGTTTCTGCTGCACATGGTGCCACAGAGCAAGCAACCCCACTGGGACAGTGTACCATGTTATTATCTTAACACAGAGCAGTTCATTCTTTCTCTAGCAATATCCATAAGGTATTTTGAAGCCCATATGCCGCAGAGAAACAGCAGAATGCTTATAAAATACCACCCTAGTGCCAATGACAGCTATTCTACCATTTATACACAAAGACTAGACCTGCTATGCTGACATTGGGTGAGGATAAGCATTTTAGACTTAAGCAGGTGATTTATGGTTAAGAGGAGAAGCTCATCATCTCAATAATGCTAAGTTTAGCCTTCTGGGTCCTTCTCATGGTGTTTCCTCTATTTTTGGAACGTTCTGCTTTGCATTGTGTAATTGACCTCCTCCACGCCCAACACCAGTATTATCAGCCAGGGCATTTTGTTATTGGTGGCATCACTTCACAATTCTTTGAACCTGTCTTCACTTCAATAGAGTTCGAGGAGAAGCCAGAGGAAACAACTGATGATGAATATGTGTAAGGACATGATTTTTATTCTTTTGGGGAAAGCTCCTGGTTATGTAGGTAAATAATAAAAATTAGATAATAAACATGATAGTATGATCAAAAAGCAGTCTCCTCAATGTTGGCAGGTGGCTAGTAGGATTTGTAGTAGAGAGGACAGGCAAACCATCAGTAGACTGAGCTAGAGTCAATGACATGGGACCATCGCCTGGACTGTCCATAAGTAGGACTAGGGGAGAACATTAGCTTAATTTACATTGAAAGGCACACCTAACTAATTCAGATTTCCTGAAATGTTTCTAAAACCAAAACACTGACATCCATTGAAATTCATATTTTTCCCTTCTGCACTTTTTTCCTACTCTGCCCTTCAGCATTTGTGTCATACATTTCATTCTGTTCTCCACAAAGACTTCATTAGAACCAGCAAATGTTAGAAGGGCCCTACTGGCTCCACCCAAAGGACCATATAGCCCTCCACTGTGATCTCACAGTGGCCAACCAGATGGCCATGAGAAACCCACAAGCAAGTCCTGAGCATTACAGCAGTCTTCTCAGCTCCTGTTCCCAGAAACTGGGATTCAAAGGCATGGTGCCTCCAATGGTGGGGAGAGAACCTAGCCACTGTGCTTAATAGCTATATCCATCATTACAAATGTCAAATCTTCATTTAAAGTCATATAAGTTGGTAGTCATCAGTAACACTTGCGGGAATAAATTTCATAGTTTACCTGTTGTTGTTGTTGTTGTTTAGTCGTTTAGTCGTGTCCGACTCTTCGTGACCCCATGGACCAGAGCACGCCATGCACTTCTGTCTTCCACTGTCTCCCGCAGTTTGCTCAGACTCATGTTTGTAGCTTCGAGAACACTGTCCAATCATCTCGTCCTCTGTCGTCCCCTTCTCCTTGTGCCCTCAATCTTTCCCAACATCAGGGTCTTTTCCAGGGAGTCTTCTCTTCTCATGAGGTGGCCTTTCGCATGATGAATTCTGCATATAAGTTAAATAAGCAGGGAGACAATATACAGCCTTGCCGTACTCCTTTCCCAATTTTGAACCAATCAGTTGTTCCATATCCAGTTCTAACTGTAGCTTCTTGTCCCACATAGAGATTTCTCAGGAGACAGATGAGGTGATCAGGCACTCCCATTTCTTTAAGAACTTGCCATAGTTTGCTGTGGTCGACACAGTCAAAGGCTTTTGCATAGTCAATGAAGCAGAAGTAGATGTCTTTCTGGAACTCTCTAGCTTTCTCCATAATCCAGTGCATGTTTGCAATTTGGTCTCTGGTTCCTCTGCCCCTTCGAAATCCAGCTTGCACTTCTGGGAGTTCTTGGTCCACATACTGCTTAAGTCTGCCTTGTAGAATTTTAAGCATAACCTTGCTAGCATGTGAAATGAGTGCAATTGTGCAGTAGTTGGAGCATTCTTTGGCACTGCCCTTCTTTGGGATTGGGATGTAGACTAATTTTCTCCAATCCTCTGGCCACTGCTGAGTTTTCCAAATTTGCTGGCATATTGAGTGTAGCACCTTAACAGCATCATCATTTAAAATTTTAACTAGTTCAGCTGAAATATCATCACTTCCACTGGCCTTGTTATTAGCAGTGCTTTCTAAGGCCAATTGACTTCACTCTCCAGGATGTCTGGCTCAAGGTCAGCAACCACACTACCTGGGGTGTACAAGACATCCATATCTTTCTGGTATAATTCCACTGTGTATTCTTGCCACCTCTTCTTGATGTCTTCTGCTTCTGTTAGGTCCTTACCACTTTTGTCTTTTATTATGGTAATCTTTGCACAAAATGTCCCTTTCATATCACCAATTTTCTTGAACAGATCTCTGGTTCTTCCCATTCACTTGTTTTCCTCTATTTCTTTGCATGGCTCGTTTAAGAAGGCCTCCTTGTCTCTCCTTGCTATTTTTTGGAAATCTGCATTCAATTTCCTGTATCTTTCACTATCTCCCTCACATTTTGCTTGCCTTCTCTCCTCCGCTATTTGTAAGGCCTCGTTGGACAGCCACTTTGCTTTCTTGCATTTCCTTTTCATTGGGATGGTTTTCATTGCTGCCTCCTGTATAATGTTGCGAGCCTCCATCCATAGTTCTTCAGGCACCCTGTCCACCAAATCTAAATCCTTAAACCTGTTCCTCACTTCCACTGTGTATTCATAAGGGATTTGACTTAGATTGTATCTTACCGGCCCAGTGGTTTTTCCTACTTTCTTCAGTTTAAGCTTGATTTTTGCTATAAGAAGCTGATGATCTGAGCCACAGTCAGCTCCAGGTCTTGTTTTTGCTGACTGTATAGAGCTTCTCCATCTTTGGCTGCAGAGAATATAATCAATCTGATTTCGATGCTGCCCATCTGGTGATGTCCATGTGTAGAGTTTTCTTTACAGCATTGGACTTTCCTTTCACTTCCAGGCATATCGGCAACTGAGCGTCCTTTCGGCTTTGGCCCAGCCGCTTCATCAGCTCTGAATCTACTTGTACTTGTCCTCCGCTCTTCCTCAGTAGCATGTTGGACGCCTTCCGACCTGAGGGGCTCATCTTCCAGCGTCATAACTTTTATATGCCTTTTGTCTTTGTCCATGGAGTTTCCTTGGCAGGGATACTGGAGTGGCTTTCCGGTTCCTGCCCCAGGTCGATCACGTTTGGTCAAAACTCTCCACTATGACCTGTCCATCTTGGGTGGCCCTGCACGGCATTGCTCATAGCTTCTCTGAGTTATTCAAGCCCCTTCGCCATGTCAAGGCAGTGATCCATGAAGGGGATAGTTTACCTAAGTGTTTGCTTTCTTTTGTCTCCCTTGAATCTTTCAAAATTCAGTTTCATTGCATGTCCTCAGATTATAATGTTATGGGATAATGTGTGTGTTTTTTGTGTGTTTATCCACTTTCAAAACATGAAGTCTGTCCAGCAAAAGCAAGACAGAAGCAGGAAAACCCACCACATGCATAACCCCTCTATTTTTTTCAGCACAGTGCTGAAGAACTACCAGCATGCCCTTTCCTTAGTCTTTGCTGTGAATGAGGTCAACAAGAACCCCAACATTTTATCCAACATCACTTTGGGGTTCCAGATCTATGACAGCTACAGTGATGCAAAGATGACTTATCAGAATACGTTGAACCTCATCTCTCATCATAGGAAAACCATCCCCAACTACAAGTGTGGTGTTGAGAAGAACCTGATAGCTGCCATTGGGGGCCTTGACTCTGAAACTTCAAGCCACATGGCCTCCATCTTGGAGCTTTATAAGATTCTACAGGTAGGAAGAGTGTGGCTGGAATGAAGACTCCACAACTGTTGTATATGATTTAGCCTTAGTGTATATTCCCAGGGCATTGGGAGGGGAGAGGGAAAGGAGACTTCTTTTGGCAGGCTAAAACAAAAAAGTCTTACGTATTTTCTTTTTCAAATAACATAGTTATCTGTAGAAAATAATGTCCAGAATTGTCAACTGATTATGCCAAACTCTGCCTCTGCCTCACTAGCATATGTCTGATGGACCTTGGTAGTTTTCAGCCCTGTAAAAGGTCCCTGTGGGTAGAAAAAATGGGAAGGTTTCAGAACCCATGCTTTAGAAGATTCTCCAAATTTTGCTCTGAAGTATCACATGGAAATCAGCTCTTTTTCCTCCAAGCACCATTTTTGGTGTGGTGTAATCTGAAGGAAAGGTGTAGGGTGAAGACTTTGGTTGGTGCGATGAAAACTCACCAATGTATCCAATCCAGCACTCACCATAATGCATTTGCACTGTTTCAACCTAATGGAATGGAGTTAATGGAATGGTTCTGGTCCCAATCTCTCCCTCTGCTGAAGCATGAGGTATGTTTGGTTATTTAAAGACACATAAATATCCTACCTGGTGATTTAAAAATCCCTCTGTTCTTTGCTAGATCACCTATTCTTCATTTACTCCAGCGGTGAGTGAAAAAGACCATATTTCTTCCTTGTACCAAATGGCCCCCAGTGAAGAACATCAATACACTGGCATTGTTCAGCTTCTTCTCTATTTCCAGTGGAAGTGGGTTGGGATATTTGTCACAGCTGACGATAAAGGAGAAACATTTGTGAAAAAGTTGACACCCCAGCTTTCCCGGAATGGCATATGTATAGCTGTCACTGAGACAGCGGTAAACTACCGCGGTTTTGATGGTTTGGGGATGACAGAGAAATATCAGAATATGGCCGAGTCTCTAAGCAAAACAAATGTCAATGTATTTGTTGTCAATGCAGACAAAAACACCAAGACAAGTTTGCAATGGCTGCTACTGCTAGGTGGAATGTTGAGTGTGAGTCCCATAAACAAAGTGTGGGTTATGACCGCCGACTGGGATTTTTCTTCGGAGCCATACCACAAAGATCTGGATATACAAAACTTCCATGGTGCCTTATCCTTTGCCATTCTTTCCACTGAGGTGAAGGAGTTCCACCATTTCCTCCTGAACCTAAATCCCCACTCTGAGGCTGATGGCTTTATCAGGTTGTTCTGGCAACAGGCATTTGGTTGCCAGTTTCTAGATGTGGAGACGGAGGAGGGATCCTGCACTGGTGAGGAGAAGCTGGAGAGCCTTCCTGGGGCGTTTTTTGAAATGCAAATGACCAGCCAAAGCTACAGCATCTACAATGCCGTCTATGCTGTGGCACATGCTTTGCATGCCATGTTGGCACCCAGAACCAAATATAGAGAAATAGTGCTTGGTAACTATCTGAGACCTCAAAATCAATATTTCCAGGTAATGTGTAGCATGGAAAGCAGATCATTTTTTAAAATGAATAGCCCAAGCATAATACTAAAGCTTGGAGACAACCTACAGCCACAGAGATAGTTGCTTTTCCATTCATTTCTTTGGAAAGGTATATGTATTTATTATTATAAGGGCACAGAAGTGCTCCTAGTGAAGGTGAGAATCAAACACATGGTTCCTTGAGTATAAGCTGCAGAAATCTATTGCTAATAAAAGGGTGTTTCTTCAGAAACTAAGGATATTTGTTATATATTTCTGAAGCTATCAATAGATTGTTCAAATTTCAATGAGATCTGATATAAAATACAACAATTAAGTTCAAAAGTGCTAACAAACACACTTGTAACCTTTTCTTCTACCCAAACATGCCATATATTTCTATCCAGTTGTGATAAAAAACTGCTGAAGTACTTTATTCAGGTTCGTTAAGGAACACACATTTTCATTAGTTTGGTGAAATTCGATAGGCAATACAAGAGTTTTGTTGTATTAAATTCTATGTAAGTTGCCAGCAAATTTACGGTAAGCCAAATGTCTTGCCAATACTGCAACGCTTGAATGTTTTTAGCAAGAACTGACAAAAGTTGAACGAAAATGTTGAATTTAGGTTTGATGGCTATGGATTGGGGATTAAATCTGTGAATTAAAGTTTAAACCTCCTGTTCAGCATGTGTGGGAGAAATATGAGGCCAAACAGGCTGTGAGGCCCTTTTTTTAGCAGAATAAAACCACTTATGCAATTTGCAGCTTCCTGGAAGCGAGGAAATAGGAAATTTCACAATTTTTCCCTGTTTATTTGTGTTCTGCTGATCTTTCCCCAGTTTCTACCCTTTTCTAAGAATAAACCACACAAATTTGTAAAAGTAGAAAGATTTACTTATATTCAATGAAGGCAGCTACTACTTCTAGGTAAAAAAATGCTTCTTAGTTATGATATACAAAATTAGTTTCTAAAATGGAATCTAGGAAAGTATGTGCCCCCATAAAACTCAGGGGGAGTTTCAACAAATAGTATGAATTGATCGCAGCATGAGAAAACAGAAGCTTTGTGGTGTGTTCTCTATTTTTACCAAATCTACCATTCTCTTTCTGCCTCTGTAGCTTCAACCTTTCCTGAGGAATATCTTGTTTAACAACAGTGCGGGGACACTGTCTTTTTAATGAGAAACGTGAGCTAGAAGGTGGATTTGATATTATCAACTGGGTAACTTTCCCAAATAAGTCCTTCTTAAGAGTGAAAGTTGGGAAGATGGATCCCCAAGCACCACTGGGCAGTGATTTCTCCATTGATGAGAAGAGCATTACATGGCACCAGAGTTTTAACCAGGTAGGACCCAATTGCAGCTTCTGAGGTCTATAGGTAGACATGCACCAGATTTGTTTGTTAATCATTTACACCCTATGGAAGGAGTTCCTTTTAGCTGCATTGATTTATGTTGTTGCAATGTTACGTAAGTTATTTTTCTTAATGTGTAATGTGAATTAAAAATCCAATAATTATATAAATTTTAGAAGACTTTTAGAAGACATCTGAAGGCAGCCTTGTTTAGGGAAGCTTTTAATGTTTGATGCATTACGGTATTTTAATATTTTGTTGGAAGCCACCCAAAGTGGCTGGGGAAGTCCAGCCAGATGGGCGGGGTATAAATAATAAATTATTATTATTATTATTATTATTATTATTATTATTATTATTATTAACATTTTAGAATAAGAACATCCACATGCTACAAGCACAGTCATCATGCAATGCAAAATTGTGCTTCGTAGGAATCTTTAGTATCATTTCTGTGATTCATTTCTTTAAAGGAACCAAGTTGCCACTTCTCATCTTTAAAAAAATATTATAAAAGGGAAACACATATCAGTAGGTCCATTGTCTTGCACATTTTCTTTCCCTGAACCATTTACTGGCTGAGTGGCTCAGTTGGTTAGAGCATGGTGTTGATAATGCCAAGGTCACAGGATTGATCCCATTTTAGGACAGCTGCATTACAGGGGGGTTGGAATAAATTATTCTCAAAGTTCCTTCCAATGCTACAATTTTTGATTCTATTGCCTTTTTTATTGGGTTGAATATCCACTAATATTGGTGATTGTCACAACCATTGTAAAGTTGGTGGTGCTAATTATTTAAAAAAAAACAAAAAACAACCCTCTGGGTGCCTTATTTCAATGCAGCAGCCTGTTGATGAAAAGGCAGAGACCAAACACAAATAGAATAGAATACATGCAATACCTTCTGTTTTATGGACAGGTGATGCCCCTTGCCTTGTGTAATGACCACTGCCATCCAGGTTACAGCAGACAAAGGAAAGAGGGGGAACCATTTTGCTGCTATGATTGTATTCCATGTCCAGAAGGGAAGATTTCAAACCAGACAGGTAAGGTACTGTATGCTATAGTATATCAACTATATTGAGAACATGTTTTTGTTAGCCATTTGTGAACAAATAGACGCCTTACAAAAGACTTGAAGATAAACCTTTACTTGTCCGGTTGTCAACTGTTGAACAACAAGTATTATTCATATGTGCTTCTGTCCCTTGAGCCCACTGAGAAGCTTTAGTCCTTTTTTGTTTTCAAAGCTCCTTCATAGCAGAGCATAAGTTTATAATCCATATCTTACCTGTCCTCAAAAACTCCTCCAGACAGTGTCTGCTTGAAGTCACTAAACTCCCACGCTCTCAATCAAAGATGCAACTAACAGTAGAACCAACCAACCGTCAAGTACCAACTACCTCCTTCTTCCCCAATACCATTTATTCTTTGTGAAATATATTTACTGTTCTTAAACCACTGTACAAGTGTATTAAATGCTGTACCACTGTACAAGTGTATTATCATAAACAATATTATAAATTGCTAACCAGCATATCTTCTGCTTACCTCCACACCTGAAAACTTCATGGATTGCATGGACAGCAACTTACTTGATCACCAAAATTCTAGAAATGTCAATTCAAGAGAATTTTTTTGACCATATTCCTAGGTGTGTTAACTGGATTATATTAGCACATTTAGTCTTCCGTTGACATTAAGCTTCCTTTCTGGGAAAGGAAATTGGTAAATGTAACTTCCTATTTTACAACCATTTCTACTGGTAAGCTGTGAAACATTAATGTTTAATTATTATTTCTCCATTCAGATAGCATGGAAAGCTCCTATTGCTAGAATGGGGACTTTTTTCTCTCTAAACACACCAACTTTCAATTCTATGCATGTGTAAACACAAACAAACATTTATGGAGCTTATCATTTAGATTTAATTCTCATTTAATTATCCACTGAAAAGAATCTTCCAAAAATAGCTTACCTTAAAGACAAAACATGTTAACACTCTAACAATTTCCTGAAAAAGATAATGTTTTGTATCATGTATACTATAAATTACATTCAATTATAGTACAGTGAAATTCAAGGTTTCCTGATCCGATACCATAAATATTTATATCTCAGTGAGACTGAAAATACTATAACTGTAATCCTGATTTCTTTATACTGCAAGATATGGATGACTGCTTTCAGTGCCAAGAAGATCAGTATCCTAACCAACAGAGAAACCAGTGCATCACCAAGAAAGAAAACTTCCTATCTTATGCAGCACCTTTAGGCATCAGTTTGGCTCTTTTGGCTCTGGCTTTTTCTGTAACTACGGCTTTGGTGTTTGGAATCTTCATCAAACATCAAAACACTCCCATTGTCAAAGCCAACAACCGGAATCTCACCTACACCCTGCTCATCTCCCTCCTGCTCTGCTTCCTCTGCTCCTTGCTATTCATTGGGCGCCCCCAGTTACTGACCTGCAATCTACGACAAACTGCCTTTGGTATCATCTTCTCAGTGGCTGTTTCTTCTGTTTTGGCTAAAACCCTCACGGTGGTTCTGGCTTTCATGGCTACCAAACCAGGATCCAAGATGAGGAAATGGGTGGGGAAAAGATTTTCCACCTCTATTATTCTCTGTTGCTCATTTATCCAAGCAAGTATTTGTATGCTATGGCTGGGTACTGACCATCCATTCCCAGATCTGGACATGCACTCTCTGCCTGAAGAAGTCATAGTGGAATGCAATGAAGGATCAGCCAACATGTTCTACTATGTTCTTGGTTACATGGGATTGCTGGCTCTTGTCAGCTTCATTGTGGCTTTCTTTGCTCGGAAGCTGCCGGACACTTTTAATGAAGCCAAATTTATTACTTTCAGCATGTTGGTGTTTTGCAGTGTGTGGCTTTCTTTTGTTCCATCCTACTTAAGCACCAAAGGGAAGTACATAGTGGCTGTGGAGATCTTCTCCATCTTGGCCTCCAGTGCTGGAATCTTGGGTTGTATCTTCTCCCCAAAATGTTATATCATTGTCTTCAAGCCTGAACTCAACTCAAAAGGGCAGCTAAAAAAGAGAAATAAGTAACAATCTAACTATTAAAATCATTATAGTGGATAACCTTTTAAATGTTTTAAGGTTTCTCTGTTTGGGAAGGGTTCAGCTTTCAGGTTCTCTTGATATAGATGTTGCTTACTGTCAGAACTGCAGTTGTCAAAATATGGAAAACCGTACAGTACTTGCAGCCTGCTCCAGTATAAAAATATGTGTTGTTTAGTACTAGTTCAAAAAATTGCTCATAAAAAAATGTGTTTACAAAGGCCGTGAATATCATGAAAAATTCTGTGCAGTTTGGTGGGATTTTATCATGTACAAAACACAAGAAATAGAGACACAAAGGAGTCCCTTTCCATGGTACAAGATAAAATTTGGCCTTCCTAATGTTCTTAAGTACTCTACTTATCTAATTAAATCTCTTTCAGATATATTGCTTTTATGTATTTATATTTGTACTTCTACACCTAATATTTTTATTGTATTGTTCTACTTGATTTACTTTGATTAATTATTATAGAACATGTGATAGTAGAGTTGGACGAGATCCTGAAGGTCATCCAGTCCCAACCCTGGAGTGCAGGAAATCTCAGCTAAAGCACCCGTGACAGATGGCCATCCAACCTCTGCTTTAAAACCTCCAGTGAAGAAGAGCCCACTACTATCTGACAGTCCACTGTCTAAGAGCTCTTACTGTTCTTCCTGATGTTTGGTCACAGAATCTCCTTTCTTCTAACTTGAATCCATTCGTTTGGGTCCTACCCTCCGGATCAACAGAAAACAAGCTTGCTCCATCTTCCATATGACAGCCCTTAAGATATTTGAAGATGGCAATTATATAAACATACTATAAAGATATTAAACATATGATGGCTAAACATACACACCCATTCAATTGTTTCTCCTAAGGCTTGGTTTCCAGACCCTTGATTATTTTTATTTTTATTTTTATTTTTCTGTTTCTGCCTGAGGCGGCGTTTCTCTCTCTCTCTTTTTAAATTACTTTTTTATTCAAAATTAAAACAAAACATATTATCTAGAAACATATCATCCTTATTGTCCCCCTTTAGTCCTCCCTCCCCTCCCTCCCCCCACAGAACCCCCCCACCCCACCCCTGACTTCCCTCAGTTCCAGTCTTTGGTTTCTCTAAAAATGCTGTTTTCTGCATGTTACACAATTGTATAGATCCTCAAACTATTTAAGTAATAATTATCAATAAAAAGTTTGTGAATGTTTATTCAAAACCAGCCAAGGAGTCCAGTTCACTTTGCTGCGTCTTCAGATACTTTGTAAAGGGTTCCCATTCATCTTTAAAGTCACAGTTATCCTTGTCCCGAAGCTTGTATGTCAGTTTGACCAGTGCTACATAGTCCATCAATTTTTCTTGCCTTGATTCTTTAGTTGGGGTTTCTTCAGTCTTCCATCCTTGTGCTACTAAAACTCTCGCGGCCGTTGTCGCATACATGAAGATGTTTTTCACTTTTTGGGCAGATCTTTCCCTACAATCCCTAATAAAAATGCTTCAGGTTTTTTAAACAAATGTTAAATGGAACATTTTCTTCAATTCGTTATATATCATTTCCCTTTTTATTTTAAATTACCTTACAATCCCACCACATATGATAAAATGTCCTCTCCTTTTCTTTACACTTCCAACATATATTTGAACTAGTTTTGTACATTTTCCCTAACTGCACTGGTGTTATATACCATCTGTACATCATCTTCATGTAATTCTCCTTCAATAGGGAACAATCTGTAAATTTTAAATCACTTTTCCATAATTTTTCCCAGTCTTCCATCATAATGTTTTCACCTACATCTTGTACCCATTTAATGGGAAGTTTTTAATCTATGATATTTTACTGTATTTTTGGTTTCTATGGAAGCCGCCCAGAGTGGCTGGGGAAACCCAGCCAGATGGGCGGGGTACAAATAATAAATAATAATAATAATAATAATAATAATAATAATAATTATTATTATTATCATCATCATAACTAATTTTACCTCTTCATCTTTCGTCTCCCATTCTAATAGTATACTGTATGCGGCCTTCAGTAATTTCACTTTCCCTTCGATCACTTCTGTTTGAAACTTAGATCTTGTATAACTAAATCCTTTCTTGCTGTCTTCTTTATGTGTTTCATATAGTTGTCGATAATGCAACCAACTCTGAAAGTGGTCTTTGATCTCATCATAATCTCGTTTTATAAGATATTTATTAAAATTTCAGAAATAAAAGAAGTTACACTAGTAATAATAAGAAAAGGGGGGAAAAGATAAAAGAATGAAAAAGGAAAAAAAAATACACAATACAAAGAAAAAATACAAACATTTAAAAAATACAAACAATTAAAAACAAATCGATCTTTCCATATCTTGTCTTTCATTCACTTGTTTCCCTGACCTCCTCACACCTCCCCTTTTTTGTATTCCAGTTCAGTAAGTTAATTCAGCAAATCCTTTCCCTCTTTGTTTTTATCTTAGACCTTTGTCTTAATATATAATAACTGTATATTCTCATCTGTTAACAGTCCATTTTTACATACTCCTTATAACATTGCTGCTAAAGACCCCTTAGCTTCACTCCAACGTCATTCTAGCATTCATTGATTTTACAGTATTTCTGTAGATAGTCTTTAAATTTCTTCCATTCTTCTTCCACCGACTCTTCTCCCTGGTCTCGGATTCTGCCAGTCATTTCTGCCAGTTCCATATAGTCCATCACCTTCATCTGCCATTCTTCCAGGGTGGGTAGATCTTGTGTCTTCCAGTACTTTGCAATAAGAATTCTTGCTGCTGTTGTGGCATACATAAAGAAACTTCTGTCCTTCTTTGGCACCAATTGGCTGACTATGCCCAGGAGAAAGGCCTCTGGTTTCTTCAGGAAGGTATATTTAAATACCTTTTTCATTTCATTATAGATCATCTCCCAGAAAGCCTTAATCCTTGGGCACGTCCACCAAAGGTGAAAGAATGTACCCTCAGTTTCTTTACATTTCCAACATTTATTATCGGGCAAATGATAAATTTTTGCAAGCTTGACTGGTGTCATGTACCACCTGTATATCATTTTCATAATATTCTCTCTTAAGGCATTACATGCCGTGAACTTCATACCTGTGGTCCACAACTGTTCCCAGTCAGCCATCATAATGTTATGTCCAACATCTTGTGCCCATTTAATCATAGCAGATTTCACTGTTTCATCTTGAGTATTCCATTTTAACAACAAGTTATACATTCTTGACAAATTCTTAACTTTAAGATCTAACAGTTCTGTTTCCAATTTTGATTTTTCCACCTGGAAGCTGATTTTCTTGTCCAGATTGTATATCTCCATTATTTGATAATAATGAAGCCAATCTCACGCTTTATTTTTTAGTTTTTCAAAGCTCTGCAATTTCAATTTATCTCCCTCTTGTTCCAGAATTTCCCAATATTTCGGCCATTTGGCTTCCATATTGAGCTTTTACAGAGCCTTCGCTTCCATCGGTGACAGCCACCTTGGAGTTTTATTTTCCAATAAATCCTTATATCTTGTCCAGACATTAAACAATGCTTTCCTGACAATATGGTTTTTAAATGCTTTATGTGCTTTGACCTTATCATACCACAAATATGTATGCTACCCAAATACATTGTTAAAACCTTCTAAGTCCAAAATGTCTGTGTTTTCAAGAAGCAGCCATTCTCTCAGCCAACAAAATGCGGCTGATTCATAGTAAAGTTTAAGGTCTGGCAGGGCAAATCCACCTCTTTCTTTTGCATCCGTTAGTATTTTGAATTTTATTCTGGGCTTCTTGCCCTGCCAAACAAATCTGGAAATGTCTCTCTGCCACTTCTTGAAACAGTCCATTTTGTCCACAATTTGCAGTGTTTGAAACAAAAACAACATTCTTGGCAATACATTCATGTTTATCACAGCGATACAGCCTAGCAGTGAAAGCTTCAAATTTGACCATATTTCTAAATCTTTTTTCACTTCAGTTCAACATTTTTCATAGTTATCCTTAAATAAATTCACATTTTTAGCAGTCATGTTAACCCCAAATATTTCACTTTCTTAACCAGTGTTAATCCTGTCTCCTTCTGAAACCTCTCTCTCTCAATCACTGTTAAATTTTTCTCTAAAGCCTTAGTTTTTAACTTATTCAACTTAAATCCTGCAACCTGACCAAATTCTTGAATCAGTTCTATTACTCTTTTAGTACTAGATTCTGGCTCCTGTAATGTCAATACTAAGTCATCTGCAAATGCTTTAAATTTATACTGTTTAGCTCCAACTTGTATACCCTTAACCAATTGGTCCCTTCTAATCATGTTTAAAAGTACCTCTAGGACCGATATAAAAAGCAATGGGGAAATTGGGCAACCTTGTCGTGTCCCTTTCACATTGTTAACAATTAGTTTAGCCTTTTGTTCAGAATATATTGCACTTATACCGTTTTCAAAACCATAATCTCTTAATTTTCATTTTCCATCATGTTCCTTTAATAAATCAACATATGTGAGCCATTTTCCTTTCTTTCCAAGTGGTTTGAGCAGTAATGCTTCATGTGGTGAAAGCCACCACGGGGTCTTTTGTTCCAATAAGTCTTTGCATCTCTCCCATACTCTCATTAGTGATTTCCTGATTATATGGTTTTAAAAACTTCTATGAACCTTCCCTTTCCCGTACCATAAGTATGCGTGCCAGCCAAATCTGTTGTCATGTCCTTCTAGTTCTTATCCAATCTCATCCAGTCCCTGATCCATACCAAACAAGCAGATTCATAATACAATTTAAGGTCTGGGAGGGCAAACCTGCCTCTATCTTTTACATCTGTAAGTATTTTATGTTTTATCCTTGGCCTTTTGCCCCCCCCCCCCCCGATAAATCTTGAAATCTCTTTCTGCCATTTTTTAAAACATTCATCTTTCAGGATGAATGACAGATCACTTTGATCTGTCAACTTAATCCCTCATGTAGGCAAGAAAGAGGCCTTGTCCTGAACCCAGGCATCCTCTCAGGTAAGTCGTGAT